AGACATTCCTTCTTCCAAATCTGTGCCACTCGAGCCGTGTGATGATGGGGTAATAGAGCTTCTAATCGGGAACGAGTTGCAACTTGATCAGGAAAAATGCTGCAGTTACAGAATATATAAGCACATCTAAAAATACTGACTTAGTCTTCATTTTTTTAAGTTGCTGTTCTGATGAATAACTTTGTCCAACTTTCTTTTTTTTGGGGGTGGGGGTAGTGCCAGAACAAACAAAGACAAGTGTAAGCCAGCCTCAGCCTGTCACCTCTAACGGCACTTCCACAGTAACCAGCACTAATAATAATGCCAAGCGGGCCACAGCCAACAGTCAGCAGCAGCAGACCTTGCCTCGATACCCTCCTCGTGAAGTACCACCACGATTCCGACACCAGGAACAGAAACAGCTTCTGAAACGAGGTCAGCAGTTACCTGGTATAGCTGCAAACCTGGGATCTACTCCTAAAGTATTAAACGGCCAGTCAGGAGGCAGCACTGTCACAAATAACCAGCCAGTGACCAACGGAGAAGTGCCGAACAACAGCAAAAAACAGCCAGGTGAGGGGGATGTACTTTGTTTCCTTTATCTCAAATCCAATAGTTCAAATCAATTTATCAGTGAGATATTTGAGCTAATATTATTTGAACTTGAAATGTAAGCTGTAATGTGATATTTTCATGTGTTGTAGCTAAATATTATGGGATGGTTTCAGCCATCTTTGTGCAAGTTTCATACTGAAACTTAAGACATCTTAGTTGCTCGTTGCTGCCAGTGGTTGTACAGTAGACATGTCTTGTTTGAACAGATAGCAAAGCCAGTGTGACCACTGCTGTGTTCTGAATTTCCAGTCTTCATCCTTATAAGTGATCCAAGCATGTTCATGCTCTGAAGCATATTTTTTGCATCCAGTTTTGATGTATAGGTCTCTCCAGGAGGGAGGGGCAGTTCCCAGAGCATTCTGAAAAGCATCTCAAGATATTTTTTTCCTCCCATCTAGAGCTACAGCTGAGCTACAGATTGTTCAGAGTATCAGAATTTATTTTTGTTGTTAGGTCAGAGATTTTGTGTTCATTTTCCTGAAGCCTGGTTGTCTTACAAAATGGATCGACCTTTACCTTTATTACTATTTAAGTGTAATTATCCTGTATTATTTTGGCTTGTTATGCATTCTCTTCAAATGCCCTTTTAAGAGCAGTACACTTACCAGTTACATGTGCGTAACTTGCTGTTCAGTGGACGTACTAGCATGCAGTTCAGGGAATTCTTTTTAGTCTATTTTTGGCTGGAAAAAAGTAACTTTTTTTGCAGGTATCTGGGTTTTTCAAAGGAATTTGGTATTAGTGTATCCTAACAATATGTCGGACATAGTTTTTTATGTGCACATAGTGATAATGCACTGCAGGTAGTTTCTTCTGAAGCTTTACTGAATTCCTGGTGTTTCTCAAAAGTAGTGTATTCTACATAGCAAAGGATGTGACTCCTACCACAGACTTTACTGAGAAGGTTTCTGGAAAATAGCCTTGATATTTCCAGTTTTATTTAAATTTTGAGCTGTTCTGATTAAGCAGTATTTAAAATGAAAGTAAACAATCAAAGCATTGGAAGCAGTTTATCCATATCCCCCTTGAGGAATGTTTCTGACACTACTTTCCAGTATTATTTTGTAAGGTGTTGATAGAACTCTTTACCATTCCAACAAGTTATTTTTAAGCAGTTCTATCTTCGCTTCACCTGTATAATTTTCTTCCTGTCTATAGTCAGGTTTGATGTAACATTTCATATACTTGCTTCTAATATGAAACTTTTTCTCCAGCATATATCCTCTGCTGGGCAAATTGGATGGCAGCAAATAGTGATTTTCATAAAATCCACATCTAAACTCATCTAAGAAGTATTATTCTCTATAGAACCTGTTAAACCTTCTCACTGTGTCCAGAGGGTTTTTTGAGGATACTGCCTTTCATTTCCTGATTGTGAATGCCCACCCAGTATTTAATTAGTTGGGTTCCCATTTGTTACTGCATTCTTCCTGATACTGGGCTGGTGTAGCTGGAGAACCCCTCGGCTGGAGGTGTCGGGGTGTCCCCGCACGGTGCAGCCATGGGGCTGACCTGAGTGCCTGAGCCAGGTGCTTTGCTGGGAGTTCTGTGGTTTGGATAACGTGTTAATTATTTGAATAATATCTCAATATGTCCAGTTGGTAACTAAAAGGTTCTGGGAGCCTTTAGGAGAAAATTTTACCAAATCCCTTTCCCATCTGAATAAAATGTGTGTGTTGTCGGTAGCATCCTGCTGAGTCCCTGCCCACTGTGTGCTGTGCTTGGGGCCTTCCCATGTGCCCAGTCAGACCAGTCAGAGCCCACACCTGGGGATGGGCAGCCAGGATCTCCTTGCTTGGGGCCTGAGTACCTCTATGCCTGAGAAATCTCCTTCCTCTCAAATAACTAGGGGTAATGTCTAGTTTGGGTGTGTTGTCATGTTCTTTGAGAAATGTAGTTAAGATGAGAATGTGAAAGAAAATAATTTTTCCGTGCTGAATTTTTGTAACTGATTCAAAGTCTGGTCTGATTAATTGCCTGTGAGGTAATGGGGAGGTGGCCATAGCCCAGCAGCTTGCAAGAGTGACTTAATGGACTTAATGTCTTTTGACACCTTGGTATCTGAAAAGAAGTAGTGGTATTGTTAGCCTCTCTGTCTTAATTCATTCACTCTCCTTGGTTCCTCTTTCTGTCTCCAACTGCAGCTTCTAGGTACTTGTTATTTCTGAAATGAGAAATCTCAGGAAGTTTGACATAATCTGCAGATCCCTTCCTATTGAAAGAATATCCATGTATAGGCCATTGGGCTAACAGATTTTATAACTTAACAGAACATCTTTGAAGATTTAAGTTCTTGGCTGTTTCAAAGCATTATTTAGTGGATGTTGGGATCTATATTTTTAGGGCTGAAAGAAAAACTAGCTTGAAATGTTGCAGTCAAAATTGCTAATATGGATAATGGTTCCACTTGCACCTGCCATTCCCTGACACACCTCGGGGTGGGGTTATAGTTGCTTGGTAGGTGCTTTGTCAAAGCCAGAGAACACAAATCCTGCTAAATTTAGTTTTCCTTTCATTTCCCTGCCACTGTAAGTTTTTAAATCTTTGGTATTGGAGAATTTTTTAATTATATCAATGGGCCAAAAAAACCCAACTCTTGTGATTTGTGTGAGCAGCCATCTTCTGTTTCGAAATTTAACCTAGTTTGTTTAGAAGTAACGTTTAAGAAGGGATAATCCTGTGTCTTGGGGCTTTTTCCCTCCTGTTTTTTTAACATTTGACATATTTTTTTAATGAAGACCATGCAGTACTTGTGAAAGAGATAACAGTCTTGTAACAAGATGGTTATTTTAAGAAGACTACACAAGTAGCTCTTTATCAGACCATTTTCATACCCAATTCAGTTGTTTCCTTTACTGAAATTTTCCCCCCCTATGTAAACTCCACATGAAAGGTCATGAGTGCTGCAGTGTGTCTGTATTTGCTCTGTGCTTTGTAACACATCAGAATAGTCAAGTGGTTATTCTACAATGAAATTATTTATATACTGAACTAAAATACTTGCCAGCATTAATGGCTTACTACTGTAGGACAGAATAAAACAGGAGAGAACCATCAGGCTCCTGGTGTGACTCCAGTGACTTGGATTCCTCCATGGACTCGAGCAGGTCTTGCTTTATCCTTGTGCATCTCTCAGCAGAGCTGCAAAAAGTAGTTAGAGCCAGAGCCTTTGGAAGCAAGACACTGTTCCTGCCACTTTAGGGGGTTTTCTTGGCTATTGTAGGACTAAGGGAAGAAGTGAGCAGTTAGGATTTGCAGTTAGTCGTGGAGGTTGCCTTAAATGTAACAGTTGTGATCTTCGGTTGTAAACTTAGTGAATTTGTAGTGTTAACTTACTCACTGTCTATAGGAAACTCAGGAGGAAGTTATCGGAGTGGTCAGTGAAGATTTGCTCTGCACACTTAGGGTAAATCAGAGTTGGACCCTACTTAGCTATTTGTTTGCTAAAATCACGTAGCAAAATAATGACTTTCAGGTGGAGAAAGCATGCTGTTGAGAGACCTGGTAAGGACTTGCTTCAACTTCAGGGCTGACCTCAGAAAGTCTAAGTTAGTACAGTCAAAAATTAACTGGTTTTGGTTTCTATGACTATAAATTCTTCCTTTTTTTATAGAAATCAAAATTTTAAAATTAAGGACATGTTAAATTGGTTCATTATATGCCAAGTGCATAAAAACTAACTAGTAGTGGCAGTGTTTAGTAAGAGCAGCAGAATTGCTCAGAATTCAATCCAAAAGGTGGATTTGCTGTGGGTCCCTTCCCTGTAGGTGCTCAGTCCAGTGCAAAGCCTGTCAGGGAGCTTGATAGGGCTCTTTGCTGGGAGGTGGACCTTTCCTGAGAAAAAGGGGATTGCTTATAGGTAATGAGTGGATTTGGGACTGTTCTCAAAGGGCTAGTTTACTGAAGTAATAATTCTGTAATGTTCTTCCTTTCTTCTTTGTAGGCATGCCTCCCATTCGGGACTTGGTGAGCCACTCCCCTAACCAGTCAGGTTAGCTATTTCAATCTCACCTTTTTTTGGACTGTGTGTGTTTGTAGTAGTTACATGTCTCACACAATTTTGTCTTATTTTGTAATTTATTTTTTTTTTATTCTTTGGCTTTTGTTTTTCATTAGCATGTGCTGTGTGACTGGCTGGCTGAAGCCCACTCTGTGCCATCGCATGCTGCATTGGGTCAGTGCTGCAGGGGAGCTTGGTCTGGCACAGGGCCACTGCTTGGAGAGGGGACAGAGAGTACAGGACAGTCCCTTTTAGGAGAGGCACCACTTGTGCTGGGTTGGGTGCAGAGGGACACTACCCTTGTCCTGGCAGCTTTCCTGTCCTGCATTTACAGTTTGGAGACTTTTAGGGGAGGCAAACATCTACTAATTCTTGGGGTGGAGTACTTGAAGAAGACAAACAGATTTCAGGACCTTTTTCTGTACCACAGATAAACATATGATGTTAACAAACAGGTTTTATTTTTCTGGTTTTGTTAATTGGTAATTGTTTACTAAAAGCTGGAAAGCTTATTTACTACTAAAATGCATTTTTTCATAAGGACCAAAGGTGCACAATTACTGGGAAGGTAGAGTATTGGCAGTCTGTTGGGTACCAGTGTGTACTGGAAGTGGAAAAGGAGACAGAGGGAGCAAGTTTCAGGTATTTCTTAATTTACACTTCTCAATGCTACTGTTTTATTTCAAACATGCCATGGTATTTTAAAACAAACAAACTACTTTAGAAAATATATACAGTTTCCTGCAAACATTTCCCACGGGGGTAACACAATGGCTAGAAAGTATTAAATTACTGCATTGCAAATAATTGGAAAAAATGTAGCAGAATACTGACTTTCAAGAATCTCAGGTTTGTGTAAGGTTTTTCCTGTGTCCAGGATTTAAGCAACAGAAGTTCAGTTGCAGCTTCTAAATAGTTTTGGGGAGAAATCCAAAAGTGGAGCTAAAGGTTGTTACTGGCTGCTTTTGCTGTGCACCAAGTGTAGTCTGTCAGCTGTGATGTTTTTTCAATTTTGAGAGTGTTTTTGTGGCCTCTGCCAGATACAAAAAAGCAGAGATAATGGCTTGCCTATTCAGTATTTGTGTACTCAGTCTCAGAAGTTTGTGGGCTCTGGAGATTCAGAAAGGAATATTTCAGAACAGCAGGGCATACTAGAAATCACTAGCATGCAGTTATGTCCAGGACAAAGACTGTTAGTTAAGGTGGTTTTGTATGTAATAGGCTAAAATGCCAAATGACTGGCAATCAGTCATTATGTGCTGTTTGTGTATTGGCTTATTACAAACTGCATATCACATCTAAGTTAGGATAAAGGAATTCTAATAAATACAAGCTTTCTTTGTATGCATTCTCTTGCTCTGCAAATAGGGGTTTGTTTACTGTTTCGCTCTTGCTTGTAATCATGACCTGCATCTTTCCTCACACTGAATTCAGCCTGTTTGCCATCTGTGTACTTCAGTGGCGTTTTTAAAATTGATCCTGGTTTTGGGATAATGTTTGTGTAATCAAGGTTTTGTTTTGGTAGGGCTGCTTTTGATGATATTGATTCTCTTGCCCTGTTTCTACGTTCCACGGGTCTTTTTCTGCTACTCCCTGTTCCAAAGCACTTTGCCAGCATCCTTGTTTCTCATGTTGTAGTTCCTATGGGAAACTTAACTGATTGTTTCAACTCTCTGAAGCTTCTGTCCCCCTGGATGGTAGAGGAGCAGTGATCTCTGCTGCTCCAGGCCGTGTACCCTTGGAGGCAGGGTCTTTGGCTAGATTCTTTTTTTCTGTAGAATGAATAGTATTTATTTAAAATCAATTAAAAATACACCAGAACTTTTTGTGTCAATGTAAAACTTAGTAAACTGTCCATAGGAACTTAAATGTTCCTAAAGCTACTTTGGTCCTTCCCATTTCCTGTAGATCAAGATCTTAAATTCAAATACTGTAGTAGTTAAAATTTGTTACTCTGTTTTAAAATGTGAGGTTATCTGTTTGTCATTGTGTTCTCAAATTCCTTTTGAGAGATGGAAGCACTGAAGCAAGGTCTCGTTTTCAATCTACATGACCCTGCTTCTCCTCAGCATGGTCAGTCCTGCCTGCACACAAACCACATCAGG